TAGTACTTGGTTTCCCGGTTAGCTCGGGCACCCACAGATACAGGTGCCGTGGGGCCTGGGTGGCCACACACAGCACAGCCCCCTCATTCTAGACCCACCCAGAGACTTGCTGCAGCAGGTTGGGGCCCACCCTGCTCCCAAGTTCAACAGGAGGGTGGGGACGCTGGGGAGGAGCTCGTGGGTCCCTGGCATCCCTGTCTGCCAGTTCAGCTGTCGGGTCAGCAGGGCGCCGCGTGCATCTCCATGGTCCGAGGCCAGGCCCCACGCTGCACGGTCAGGACAGAATGTCACGGTCTCGCTGGCGCTCAGTGTACAGGGGAGGGCAGAGCATGTCAGGAGACCCCCCGGGAGTGTCTGGGACTCTCATCACTGGGGCCTGCTCCTCCTGTGTTCCTCACGCCAGAGCTAGTATGCATGTCTGCCTTAACACAAGCACAGATTCTCAGGGACACGGTGCCAGAGCGAGGTGCAGCTGTCCCCTGACCCCGCGCCTCTGCAGAGCCCCGTGCTCGTGCACACCCACGCGTGCCCCATGCAGAGCGCAGCACAAAGGACCAGGCCATTCCCTCCCCAAAGGCCACCCCCTCCCCTACTCTGAGTTCTCTGAGGTTGGGCGATTCTGGGAGGCCTGGGAGCCCGGGACTCAGCTCAGGACTGAACATCCGAGCTGGGCGCCCCGCGGGGCTGCAGCGTGGCCTCCCGTTGCTTTATTTAGGAACAGAAGCGGCTGCTAGAGCTCGGCATCACCGGCCCCGAGGGCCACGTGCTCAGCCACCCTGAGGAGGTGAGAGTCTGCGCCTGCCGAGAGCTCGTGGGCCGCAAACCCCAGAGCCAAGCTCACCCCCAGACTCTCGCTGCCTGGAGCTGGGCTGAGCCTTGGCCCTGGCTTCGTGGCTGGACAAGGCTGTGCCCACCCTGTGCTCATCTGGGGGGTGTGAATCAACAGACCTTCCCCCTGCCAGGCACATGACCTCCTGACCCCCACCACCCTACAGCCTTTACTTGGGGCAGAGAAGCTGGTGTGGTCAGGCCCTCGGGACTGCAAGGTCAGCCCAGATCCCAGGCAGCAGCCCCAAGGTGGGCCCACAATCTACCAGGGGTGCTGGGGGCATCCCCATGCCCACCCTGGTCAGGAAGCCCCTGAGCCCGCGAGTAACCTGAGCGCCCCCACCCTGTCCCCAGGTGGAGGCCGAGGCCGTGTACCGAGCAGTCACCATCGCCAAGCAGGCCAACTGCCCACTGTACATCACCAAGGTGATGAGCAAGGGCGCGGCTGACGTGATTGCCCGAGCCAAGCGCAGAGGTGCGTGCCTGGCCCGGCCTGCCCACGTGCCCGGGAGGGAGGGGCACCTTCCCTTCCTCCTGGCCGGAGCTCCGCCGGCCAAACTGAGGGACCTCGGGATGGAGCGGGGACAGGCCTGATGGAGAAGGAAGCCTGGGGCCTGGCCTGGCCTCGTCATGGTGGGGCCTCCCTCGTGGGTTACACCCCAGGTGCAGCGGCAGGAGATGTAGCCTGCAGGGGCGGGGCTGGCCCGAGCCTCCAGCCTTGGAGCAGCCAGCACTGCTGTCCCAGGGGTTGGGGGCCTGCTCCTCCCATTTCCACAGGAGTGGGGGTGGAGTTGTGCTGAGTGTGTGTGTCTGAGGCCACCCGGGGGCCCCATGCAGACAGGAAGTGTGTGTCCAGGAGCTGGGGTGCACATCCCACGGGCAGGGGTGCTCCCTGCCCACAGAGCGCCTGGCCAGCTGGTGGTGGGCACAGGCCCTGGAGCTGTAGAGGCGAATCTTTCTTGAGAGTCTCAGGCCAGGCAGGGAGTACGTGCAGCTGTCATCAATAGGGGCTGGTCGGGGGTCCCCCAGACTGGGCTCAGAGGGTCTGGGGAGCCTCAGCCATCACCTAGGGGGCTGGAGAGGCCCAGAGGCCAGGGTTTAGGACCCAGGTGGCAGGTGCATAGGGTGGCATCTCTGAGATGGACCCACCGTCCCTCCCGGCTGTGGTCTGGTATCCCCAGCTCCTGCTTTACCCCCCCCCCGCCAGTCTTGTAAGTAGAGCTCATTTCCTCCACCCTGTAGTGGGGTGCGGTGCGCACTTGCATGTGTTTTCTTCATCAGGGGTCAAAACAAAAACCCACCTGGCTAACCGGGGAAGGCTCTGTGAGGTTTGCTGGGCACGGGGGTGGATGGGGTCCACAGAGGGCGGGCCCGGATGCCTCACTGGCCCCTCCGAGAAACCACTACGCAGGGCCAGGCACTTGTCTGGGGCACCCGCACCGCACCCTGAGCCCCCACTGGTGGGAGCTGCCACAGCCCTGAGCCAGAGCCCCACAATGAGGATCTGGCCACAGGACCCAGGGCCGGTCAGCTGCCACACAGACAGGCTGTGTCAAGGCCAGCTGGGCAGTGAGTTGACCATGTCTTACTCTGGCCTGCTGGCCCCCCATGGCCCAGCTGGAGTGCCCAGAATAGCTGACCCCTAGCCTGGGGTGTGGGTGAGGAGAGAACTCCCTTCTCCCAAGGACCTCTGAGGCCACCCATGTCTGCCCAGGACTGAGGCCTCTGTCCAGGGCCAGTGCCCCAGCAGGTGGGACAAGCTGTCCCGGGTCAGGAGAGTGAGGAACAGTTGGGTGCAGCGGCGGCATTGGGGGTCACAGGCTGGTGGGGTGAGGCATGTCTCACGGGCCTCCCGCTGCAGGAGTGGTCGTGTTTGGGGAGCCCCTCACTGCCAGCCTGGGCACTGATGGCTCACACTACTGGAGCAAGAACTGGGCCAAGGCTGCAGCCTTCGTCACATCGCCCCCCATCAACCCGGACCCCACCACTGCAGACCACCTCACCTCCCTGCTGGCCAGGTGAGCAGCTGCCCCAGGGCCACCTGCAGCACACAAACCCTGGGCACCTGCAGGCAGCCCCAGCAGTGGGGCACCGGACCTGTGGCTCCCAGCTGCGGCTTGCCATGTGGGAGCCCGCCCCCCGCCCTGCTTTCAGTCCTCAGTTCTGTCCACACCCACCCTCCCTCTGCTCTGTGGCACCAGCTCTGCCCAGCTCAGACCTCGCAGACAACCTCTAGCCCCCGTGGCTGTGCTGGCCAGGGTGGGCAGAAGCTGATTCGTCCCTCTCGGCCCCTCTGACCCTGCCTTGTCCCCAGTGGGGACCTCCAGGTGGCCGGCAGTGCCCACTGCACCTTCACCACTGCCCAGAAGGCCGTCGGCAAAGACAACTTCACGCTGATCCCTGAGGGCACCAACGGCATCGAGGAGCGCATGTCCGTGGTCTGGGAGAAATGTGTGGTGCGTCCGTGCCTGGGCATGCCGGGGCTGTGGGCGAGATCCGGGGCTGTGGGCGAGATCCGGGCGCTGTCTCGGCCCTCTGTCCAGGGCTCCTCAGAGACCTGGTCTGGCCACTAGACAAGAGGCCAACAGTGACAGGCGCAGCCATTATCCTCCCACACTTGCACCTGCAGGTTAGCGAGGGCAGGTCCCTGTCCCCAGTAGATGAAACTCGGTGAGGTTAGTGGTCTCTCCACCCATCTGCCCGGCGTCCTCACCCCCCACCCCGGCCCTGAGCACTTGCCCTCAGCTCCCCAGGCCTCCTGGGCCCCCAGGGAGACACATTGTCCCCCAGGGGACACAGACATTGTTATGGAACTTCACAGTTTACCCACAAAGTGTGCACAGAAGGGTGGCTTCATCCACAGAAGGATCAGACGACGGGCTTGGCAAGATGGGCCATTGGTCACACGTGCAGTGTCACCCTCCGCCCTGGGCGGGGCATTTGTGTTCAGGACATCGCTGTGGCAGGGGCATGGTTGGAGCCCCTCCTGATCCTCGCTGCCTGGGGCAGACACTGGGGATCCCTCGTGACTGTCCACACAAATCCCCAGACGAGGCCCCCCACCCCTGCCCCAGCTGGTCCTTCTCGCTTCTCAGGCCTCAGGGAAGATGGACGAAAACGAGTTTGTTGCTGTGACCAGTACAAATGCTGCCAAGATCTTCAACTTCTACCCACGGAAGGGGCGAGTGGCTGTGGGCTCTGACGCCGACCTGGTCATATGGAACCCCAAGGCCACAAAAATCATCTCTGCCAAGAGCCACAATCTGGTGAGAAGAGTCTGGGTCCCTAGGTCAGAGTGTGGCCATGGGGCCTGGGCACCCTGCGACAGCCCTCCCGGGAGACTTGCAGGGATAGAGGCCACAGCCCCGGGCAGCACTCAGGGGGCAGGAGCTGCAGCCTCAGGAGAGGCATCTGGGGTCCCATTGTACGGACGAGGAGATTGAGGCAGAGCCATGTGCCATCCTCGTACGGACAAGGGGAGAAGTAACACTGACGGCTGCTCGCACAGGTCCCCTCTGTCCTTTTAGGAAACACGTGATCGCGAGCAGCTGGGTAGGCGGAGGGGCGGGTTCCTCTGAATGTTGGTCCCCCCTGGGGACGGGGACTGCAGGGCTGTGGGCTCTGCTCTGTGCCATGGCTCCGGGGCCTCTCTCCCCAGAACGTGGAGTACAACATTTTGGAGGGAGTCGAGTGCCGAGGAGCCCCCACGGTGGTCATAAGCCAGGGCAGAGTGGTGCTGGAGGACGGGAACATGTTCGTCACCGCAGGGACTGGCCGCTTCATTCCTCGGAAGACGTTCCCGGACTTCGTCTACAAGAGGATAAAGGCCCGCAGCAGGGTAAGGGGGGCGGGCGGGGAGCCCCTCCGTGCGGGTGAGGCT